ATTCCCTTTTTCTCCTTTTTTCTCCCCGAGCCTGCGCTGTGCTCAGGAGCTCTGCCTGTCATCAGCCTCCTCTCGTAATTCCTGGTTTCATGTCCTGCAGCCCCAGACTGAGCTCCTTCCCTGGCACTAGTACACCCACCCCAGCTCCTCCTGCAGCTGGGAACTCTGCCTGCCCCTCGCTGATGGAGTCACCTGCTCGTCACTGCTGCTGTGCCAGCTGGCTCCTCGCTGCCCACCCTTCTGACACACTTTACCTTCCCTCACTTGCCTCCTCCTCTCCATTTTTAACGGGAGCTGGATGCAGAGATTATCTGGATCTCTCCCATGGAATCATAGCCACTTTTGCAGTCACAAACCAGGGGAAAAGGCTCAGTCAGGTGTCAGTGTTCCTAAGTTACCTGACTCTGAAATACACAGGCACTAAACCAGCAGAGATTTGTTTTCCAGAGCAGCTGAGGAATCCTGTTGATCAGATTCCAGTAATGATGAGTTTCCAACTACCTTGGAGCACAGAAATCCTCACGTTGAAAACTTGGCAATTAACATGTCACTGGCACCAGCCAGGGCCTGATGTTCAAACATTCCTTTTCTCCCAGGTATTTGAAGTCACGATTGTATTTTATATTCTCCCCTGCAATTAGCACATTAATCAATCCCTGTATTTTAATATACTACATGTCACCTTTAAAAGCCCCTGAGGCTGACAGAGTTTTGGGGGAAGGCAGGTTCTTCTCTCTCCAAGAATCTCCCCCAGCGATGGCCTTTCTAAAAATTCCTCTGCCATTTTCATTTCAAGTGACATTTCACTGGAAAGGATTTGAGCAGATTCCATCTCAGCCTGAGTAAGTCTCTGGATATTGTTAGTCAATTAATAAAAATGTGAACAGCTTCCTGTGTGATGTGCGAGCGATAAACACTCAGCCAACCCTTCCTCCTCCCCTCCCTGCCTGTGAATTGCTCTGCTAAAAATAAAGGCAGTGACAGAATTTCGGGCTTGTGTGACGAGAGGAGCCCTTCAGTCCCCGGCAGGCTCCTCCGGGTGTCACCGGGAGCTGTTCTCAGCACCACAGCTGCGCTCAGCTGCTCGCCCGGCGCCGCTGGAGCCGGCCCTGGAACCCAGCCGGCTTCCTGGGGCTGCCAGGGAAATAAAGCATGGAATTGCTGCCTCTTCCAGCGGGATTTGCTGTGTGCCTGCTGCCTCTGCTCCCCCCAGGCAGGCACCCCCGCCGTGCACCCCCAACGGGGCTGTTCCCTTCTTGCCTGGCAGCTCCGAGGGGATGGATGGTTTTTAGGGATGTGCATAAACGAGCACTGGGACAGGCTGAGCCCAACACACTTAATTGGATTTGGAACAGGAGATGGCTCTGAATATCAAGCTGCATTTTCTTGTCAGCATCTTAATTATTTTAAGGAATGTTTGCCTTGCTGTATTTGAGCATTCACACTTATCTGGTGCTGAAAAACAACCCCCAAATCACTGCAGAGCCAGTGCAGACACTGCCTTTTGGGAGATGTTCTGCTGGATACAGGGCAGATGGCTGCTGCCAGCAGAATGAAGGACTCAGGAGAAGGAAATGCTCTGGAAGCACCTCTGCTTTCCAGTTCCTGCAGCTTCCCTGCTCATGGAGGGTGCAAGCTGCTGCAGTTATTTATTGTCTGGGCACGGAGCTGGCAGTCTGGAGCTGGCCATGCACTGCTGACACCTCAGCAGGAGAGTGTAACTGCAGGGATGGGGCTCAGGGACTGGGGGAGAGGGACTGAGGGGCTGCCACTGGAACCTGCGGGGCCTGGGGCTCCTGTCCCTGCCCAGGGCTGGCAGTGCCACAGCCCATGGCTTTGGGGCTCCTGTCCCTGTTCTGGGCAGGGCTGGCAGGGTCAGGCCCATGGCTTTGGGGCTCCTGTCCCTGCCCAGGGCTGGCAGTGTCACAGCCCATGGCTTTGGGGCTCCTGTCCCTGCTCTGCCCAGGGCTGGCAGTGTCACAGCCCATGGCTTTGGGGCTCCTGTCCCTGCTCTGCCCAGGGCTGGCAGGGTCACATGGCTTTGGGGCTCCTGTCCCTGCCCAGGGCTGGCAGTGCCACAGCCCATGGCTTTGGGGCTCCTGTCCCTGCTCTGGACAGGGCTGGCAGTGCCACAGCCCATGGCTTTGGGGCTCCTGTCCCTGCCCAGGGCTGGCAGTGTCACAGCCCATGGCTTTGGGGCTCCTGTCCCTGCCCAGGGCTGGCAGTGCCACAGCCCATGGCTTTGGGGCTCCTGTCCCTGCTCTGGACAGGGCTGGCAGTGCCACAGCCCATGGCTTTGGGGCTCCTGTCCCTGCCCAGGGCTGGCAGTGTCACAGCCCATGGCTTTGGGGCTCCTGTCCCTGCCCAGGGCTGGCAGTGTCACAGCCCATGGCTTTGGGGCTCCTGTCCCTGCCCAGGGCTGGCAGTGCCACAGCCCATGGCTTTGGGGCTCCTGTCCCTGCTCTGGACAAGGCTGGCAGTGTCAGGTCATGGAGCTGCCCCTGCTGTCACCTGTTCTGCAGCTTCAGGGGAGCCAAAAGCCATAGGAAATAACTAAAAATCCTGCTTTTAACGGGAAATTCCTTCTTTTCCCCTTGCTGGCAGCAGGTGAAACACAGAGTGTTAATCAGTGCCTGAATGCCTCAGGGAGAGCTAATCACAGAGCCAGGGAGTAATGGCACGGGTTGGGATGGAAGGGACCCAAAAACCATCCAGCCCCAACGCCCTCGTCACGGGCAGGGACACCTCCCACTGGATCACGGTGTGGCTGTGTCGGGGAAAGGCAGAGCTCCTCCCTCCCGCCCTCAGGGCACATGAAAGGAAGCCATGCAGGATGGCAGGGATCAGGGAGCAATGCAGGATGGCAGGGATCAGGGAGCCATGCAGGATGGCAGGGATGAGGAAGCCATGCAGGATGGCAGGGATGAGGGAGCAATGCAGGATGGCAGGGATCAGGGAGCCATGGAGGATTTCAGGGATGAGGGAGCAATGGAGGATTTCAGGGATCAGGAAGTATGGAGGATTTCAGGGATCAGAGAGCCATGCAGGATTTCAGGGATCAGAGAGCCATGCAGGATTTCGTGGATCAGGGAGCCATGGAGGATTTCAGGGATCAGAGAGCCATGCAGGATTTCAGGGATCAGAGAGCCATGGAGGATTTCATGGATCAGGGAGCCATGGAGGATTTCAGGGATCAGGAAGCCATGGAGGATTTCAGGGATCAGGATGCATGGAGGATTTAAGGGATCAGGGAGCCTTGGAGGACTTCAAGGATAAGGAAGCCATGGAGGATTCCAGGGATAAGGAAGCCATGGAGGATGGCAGGGATCAGGGAGCCATGGAGGATTTCAGGGATGAGGGAGCAATGGAGGATTTCAGGGATCAGGAAGTATGGAGGATTTCAGGGATCAGAGAGCCATGCAGGATTTCAGGGATCAGAGAGCCATGCAGGATTTCAGGGATCAGAGAGCCATGGAGGATTTCGTGGATCAGGGAGCCATGGAGGATTTCAGGGATCAGGAAGCCATGGAGGATTTCAGGGATCAGGATGCATGGAGGATTTAAGGGATCAGGGAGCCTTGGAGGACTTCAAGGATAAGGAAGCCATGGAGGATTCCAGGGATAAGGAAGCCATGGAGGATGGCAGGGATCAGGGAGCCATGGAGGATTTCAGGGATAAGGAAGCCATGGAGAATGGCAGGGATAAGAAAGCCATGCAGGATTTAATGGATCAGGAAGTATGGAGGATTTCAGGGATCAGGAAGTATGGAGGATTTCAGGGATCAGAGAGCCATGGAGGATTTCATGGATCAGGGAGCCATGGAGGATTTCAGGGATGAGGGAGCCATGGAGGATTTCGTGGATCAGGGAGCCACGGAGGATTTCAGGGATGAGGGAGCCACGGAGGATTTCAGGGATGAGGGAGCCACGGAGGATTTCAGGGATCAGGAAGTATGGAGGATTTCAGGGATGAGGGAGCCATGGAGGATTTCAGGGATCCATGCGGGACTGACATGCAGATCTAAAGCTGTCCATGGAGAGGTTCATCTCATCTTCCCCACCTGCCCAGGCTATGGAGCATCTCCCCATATTTTGAGTCTGTCCTTTCAATCCAGCTGGGAATGGTTCCTGACAGACCAGCAGAGACCGCACTGCCCTGGAGAGCTTGGGAGCGAGATGAATGGAATTCCCATGCAGGACAATCCCACCTCATTTCCTGCTAACACAGGACTGCCTCAAAATGCCTGATTTCAGTGGGATTTCAGTGTCCATCCATCACCAAGGGGCTCCGGGAGAGCTGGTCAGGGACTGGGACAAGGGACGGACACAGGGAATGGCTCCCACTGCCAGAGGGCAGAGTTAGGACAAGGGCACAAGCGTCAGGAAGGTTTTGTTCACAGGAGAGGCGACTGGAACTGGCAGGGCTGCCCAGGCAGCCTTGGAGTGCCCGTCCCGGGGGGTGTCCGGGGAAGGGCTGGAGGTGGCCCTCAGGGCTCTGGGCTGGTGACAGGGGACATCGGGCACAGCTGGGACTGGATGGTGCGGAGGGGCTTTTGCAGCCCCACGACGCTGCGATCCTGCTGGACCGGACATTACGGGGGAGCTGTCCCGGCACACGTTACCGGCGGCGGCTGACCCCGGATCCCCGGCAGTGTCCCCGGCCGGGCTGGGCGGAGCTCCCCGGGCAGCGGAAGGTATCGGAGCCGCTGGCAGGCCCATCCTGTCCGGCTCGGCCAGCTCCAGCCCCTCACGGCCTCTCACTCTCCCTCACGGTCACCGCCGGCCCCGCCCCCGTCTCCATCCGGGCACTTCCGCTGCCCGCCAAAACCCCCGCGCGCGCGCGCTCCCGCAGCCCCGCCCCGCCGCTGCCCGCCCGCCAATCACCGCGTGTGAGGCGGAGCTCGCGCCCCGGCCCCGCTCCCCTCGCTGGCCAATCGCGGCTCGGGGAGGGGGCGGTTCCGGCGCGTGCGCGCGCGGGGCGAGCGCGAGTCCCTGGCGACCGGGCGGCCCCGGCGGAGAGCGGGACGCGGGGACAGCGGGACGCGGGGACACACGGCCCGCCGGGACACACGGCCCGCCGCCATGGAGCACGGCCAGCGGCAGCAGGACGAGGGGGAGGAGCAGCGGCCTCAGGTGAGCGCGGGGTCGGGCGGGCGGGAGCAGCCGCTCACCGTCCGAGGCGGTTGTGTGCGTGTGTGTGAGCCCGTGTGGGTGTGCGTGTCCCCGTGTCCCCGCGCCACGCTGGGTCCCTCACGCCGGGTCCTCGTCGTGCTGGGGCTGGGGCAGCCGGCCGGTGTCACCTCCTGCCCCGTGAGAGGGCTCTTAAGGGGTCACCCCCCCGGAAAGGGGGAGCCGGCTGGGCCGAGCCCCTTCCCGGCTGCCCAGCAGGGCCCGAGCCCGGCCCGGTCCCTCGGTGCCCCTCGGTGCCCCGGTCCCTCGGTGTCCCCCGGGACCCTGCTCTGTCCCCGGGAGAAGGGTCACACTGGCTCCCCCTGCTCTCCCGGGAGAAGGCTGTGTGCTGTTACTGTGCTAATTACAGTTGACAGTGATGAGTTGCTCTGTTCCCTTGGGCCCCGTTCTGCCCCGGACAGCGAGTGCAGCTGGCTGAGCCCCTGCAGGGCAGTCAGGGCCAGGGGCTGCACTCAGCAATCACAGCGAGGTTTGTGTGGAAGGGGCCTTCAGACCCACCCCGTGCCCCCCTGCCATGGCAGGGACACCTCCCACTGTCCCGGGCTGCTCCAAGTCCCCTCTGACCTGGCCTGGGGCACTGCCAGGGATCCAGGGGCAGCCACAGCTGTGCCAGGGCCTCCCCACCTGGCAGGGAAGGATTTATTCCCAAAATCTCATCTAAATCCCTCAGTTTTTAATTTAAAGCACTTCCCCCTTGTCCTTCCAGTATCTGCCAGTGTAAAAAGTTGTTCTTCTTTTTTAAAAGCTACTTTTAAGTCCTGGGAGGTGCTGTAGGTCTCCCTGGAGCCTCCTTTTCTCTGTGGAGGATTCACCCACACTCTGTGCACTCAGCTGTGCTCAGATCCCTGCTGGAGCCTGGGAGGAGATCCCTGGAGGTGGTGTCCCACCAGAGCCGTGCAGGAACCAGTGTCCTGCTGAGCTGGCACCTTTGAGAGCGTTGGGCAGGTCCTTGTGTGGTTCTGGCACTTGGTGGTGACTGTCCTCTGTTCTCAGAGGGAAAATCCCAAGGTGTGACAGCCCCAGAGCCAGGAAGGGGCTCAGAGGTGCAGCAGAAACCAGAGGTGGAAAGCAGAGGTAGCTGCCTTATCAACTCCTAGAAACCTTCCCTGGAGGAAGGACAGGCTGGTGCAGGTTCAGCCTTACCAGGAGAAATAACAAAGGATGGGAACAGCCATGGGAGTAGCTGGGACACCCCCAGGGCAAGGCTGGCTGATGGCCATGGCACTCAGTGGAGCTTCAATGCAGTTTCCATCAGCCTGCAGCAGCAGGAGCTGCCCTGGCTGTTCTGCCACGGGCAGCAGGGCTGCATCCTGCACTGCTGCTTGTCCTCCTGTGCACCTAAACTGAAATGCATTCCTGCAGAGCAGTTCCAGGGCAGTTCCCAGCCCTGGGTTCCAGGCTGGGCTGTTGCAGAGCAGAGGTTTCACCTCCTGTTCTGGTGCACCTGGCTCTGCTCGGCCCAGGCCCGTTCATCTGGTGCATTTTGGGTGCTGCTGCTCCTGGTGCCGTTGCTGCCCTGTGTGTTTGTGTTGCCCTGGCTGTGAGTGCTGCTCTGACAACCCGAGCTGAGCCCTGGCAGTCCCAGCTGGAGCTGAGCCCAGCTCAGCTGCTGCTCCCAGAGCAGCCTCTGCTGCCCTGACCCCTGTGCTGTGTCCTGCTCATCCTGGGTGATTTCAGCTCACTGCAGAGGATCAGCTCAGTTGGGAGCTCCAGGCTGCAGGTTCCCAGGGGTGTCCAGAGGGCCCAGCCCAGCAGCAGCCAGGAGTCACTGTGCTGCTGTGCCCTGCTCACCCATCCTGGCCTCTGGGGGTTTTGTCACACCTTGTGACAGAAGGCAGCACAGATTTGCAGGGGACTGGGGTTCAAATTGGCTTTAAAAACTTCTCAGCACTTCCCTGAAGTTTTTGCTCACTGAGGAGAGGCTGGGAGTGGTGTCCCAGCCAGGGTCGCAGGTTGTGGTAATTTAAAGGTGTTTGGGGCTTCAGAGTGTAACAGGGGGAGGAATTCTGTAACACACAGACTGAGGCCTCTTACCACCTCATATCAGCTTTGTCAGCTTTGGCCATTTCCTCCCTCAGGTGATTTTTGATGCTGAGGGTGGTTTAAGCCCTGCCCTAACAAGTCTTTGATTCCACATTTAGCTAAACTTTAGTGTGACAAAATGATGCCCAGAAGGATCAGGTTTCTGGTTTTTGTTCTTAAATGCTGCAAATTGATGGCTACATGCCAGAATGTCCACAATTCTTTGAAATTCTGCTTTTTCTTTTGTGAAGGTAAATAGGAGTAGCAAACTAAGGTACCTGCTGCAGAGGTACCTTTTATTTCAATGGTGGGAAAGATCCAGGAATGAGCATGTTCCTAAAAACTGGAGGACAGTGGGGTGCAAAGTGCAGCTCTTGGAAGTATGGTTTAAATAAAGCATAAATGAAAAATCCTGGGATAGTCAGTGCTTTTCCAGTGGTCCAAAGCTGAGTGTGTGAAGGACTGGTAGCTTCTCACTCCATGAAATAACTCAGAAATGCTGTTCAATGCTTGTGTTGAGGTGGGGTTTGGGCAGCAGGCAGTCAAGGGGGCTTGGCACAGGAAGGAAAATGAGATGGCAGAGCTGCCCTGGGTGGCTCTAAATGAGATTTGGAGTGAGCCAGGAAGGGGCTGGGGGTGGGGGGCAGCTCCTGGGTTTGGTCATCAGCCGTGGGTGCTGCAGCACTGTTACCTCTGCTGTCTGCTTCTCTTTGGGAATTGGGCTCCCTTCCCACGGGAGCTGAACCAGCTGATCTTTGGAGGCCCCTTCTGACTGAGCTGCTGCATGAAACCCAAATAATCAGTTCAGAATGAACAGAAAGGAGAATGCAGCTTCAGCTGGGCAGGAGTGGGGTAACCCCACAGTGCTTTGGAATGTTCCTCCTGCCCTGAGTGCCTGCAGAGGAGCTTGGGGTGAGCTGGGTCAGGAAGGGGAGCTGGGGTGAGCTGGACAGACCCAGGGACAGAGCTGGGATAAACTGGACAGACCCCAGGGACAGAGCTGGGGTGAGCTGGACAGACCCCAGGGACAGAGCTGGGATAAACTGGACAGACCCCAGGGACAGAGCTGGGATAAACTGGACAGACCCCAGGGACAGAGCTGGGGTGAGCTGGACAGACCCCAGGGACAGAGCTGGGGTGAGCTGGACACACCCCAGGGACAGAGCTGGGCAGGGACAGACCCCAGGGACAGATCTCTGCAGGGACAGACCCCAGTGCACAGGGCTGGACAGGTGTGTCTGGGGGTGCTGGGATGGCTGGTGTCACAAAAGGCCCCTCAGTGCTCTTTGGAAGGTAGTGGTGAGTGGGAAGGTGGTCACTGCAGGGCAGGAGGTGTTGGGGTCACTGCAGGATAGAGGGTGTGTGTTTGTGGTCACTGCAGGGCAGGAGGTGTTGGTTTGGAAGGTAGTGGTGAGTGGGAAGGTGGTCACTGCAGGGCAGGAGGTGTTGGGGTCACTGCAGGATAGAGGGTGTGTGTTTGTGGTCACTGCAGGGCAGGAGGTGTTGGGGTCACTGCAGGGCAGGAGGTGTTGGGGTCACTGCAGGGCAGGAGGTGTTGGGGTCACTGCAGGGCAGGAGGTGTGTGTTTGTGGTCACTGCAGTGCAGGAGGTGTTGGGGTCTTTTTCAGGAAGGGCAGCCTGGCCAACTGCTCCAAGCCCCCCTGGCCCTGTTGCTCTGGCCCAGCGCGTGGGCTGGTGCTGTGCTGTGCCACTCTGTGAGCAGGGGGATGTGCTGGGGGGTGGGTGACAGCTGGGGACAGTGCCAGCTGGAGGCCAGGGCTGCCATTCACACGGCTTGGCCAGCTGGAGTAACGGCCCCAGAGCAGTCCTGGGCTTCAGCCGTGGGGAATGCAGAGCCTTGCTCACTGAGGGTAAAATCCTGGCACCTGAGCTCTGCCCGGGAGCCCAGAGCTCAGGGGGAGGTGGCAGTGCCCCCTCTGCTCCAGGCTGCATTCATGAGAGCAGCACTGGCAGCTGGAGGGGAACATTCCCCCCTTGGCCTCAGCTGGGTCCTGTCCTGTTTGGGGCTCTCTGGAGGGAAACATTCCCTCCTTGGCCTCAGCTGGGTCCTCTCCTTGGGGCTGCCAGGACAAGGGACAGGCCAGCAGGGTGGCCTGAGCCTGGGGGAGCCCTGGGGCAGGCAGGGCTGGGCTGGGAGGAGGAGGAGGAGGAGGAGGCAGTGGTGCTTCCCTGCCACAACAGGGCTTGGAGGAGGCAGAGGAGGGGTCCTGGGGGTGCTCAGGGGTGGGACCTGCAGACTGCAGGTGTGCAGTCCCTGGGGGCAGAGCAGCTGGATCCATCCCTGGTGCTCCAGCAGGATCCATCCCTGGTGTTCCCAGCTGGATCCTTGTTACTCAGCTGGATCCCTGGTGTTTCCAGCTGCATCCCTGGTGCTCCAGGTGGATCCCTGGTGTTCCCTGGCAGATCCCTGGTGTTCCCAGGCACATCCCCGGTGTTCCCAGGCAGATCCCACCTTTTATTTCAATGGTGGGAAAGATCCAGGAATGAGCATGTTCCTAAAAACTGGAGGACAGTGGGGTGCAAAGTGCAGCTCTTGGAAGTATGGTTTAAATAAAGCATAAATGAAAAATCCTGGGATAGTCAGTGCTTTTCCAGTGGTCCAAAGCTGAGTGTGTGAAGGACTGGTAGCTTCTCACTCCATGAAATAACTCAGAAATGCTGTTCAATGCTTGTGTTGAGGTGGGGTTTGGGCAGCAGGCAGTCAAGGGGGCTTGGCACAGGAAGGAAAATGAGATGGCAGAGCTGCCCTGGGTGGCTCTAAATGAGATTTGGAGTGAGCCAGGAAGGGGCTGGGGGTGGGGGGCAGCTCCTGGGTTTGGTCATCAGCCGTGGGTGCTGCAGCACTGTTACCTCTGCTGTCTGCTTCTCTTTGGGAATTGGGCTCCCTTCCCACGGGAGCT